CCTCAGCTTCCCGAGTAGCTGGGACTACAGGTATGTGCCACCATGTCCAGCTAATTTATTCTATATATTTTCAGTTGTCCAGCAAATTTCTTGCTATTTTTAGTAGAGATGGTGTCTTGCTCTTGCTCAGGCTGGTTTCGAACTCCTGAGCTCAAACAATCCGCCCGCCTCGGCCTCCCAGAGTGCTAGGATTGCAGGCGTGAGCCACCATGCCCGGCCAAGAGCCATTTTATTCTCATACTATCCTCTATAAAAATTAAACCAATCTAGGGAAAACCAATGGTTAACAATGCAAATTACATTTTAGGAAACAGGAACCAGAGCACACCAGACAACTGTAACTTCCTTAAGCTATTCTGAGACCTAAGCGGAAAATTAGATTTCTGATGAGATTCTCATTCATTAAATAAAACTTAAAAATGCCATGTAATATTTTAAGTACCTTATAAAAATTAATTCTTTTAATCCTCATAACAACCCTGTAAGACCACCTCTTTTACCTCTTATTATATAATGTGAGAATTAATGTTAATTATGGTTATAATTTTATGTATATTATATATAATTATAGAATTAAAATGATTACAAATTTCTTTAAGTTATATGTCTCCCAAAATACGAACATATTAAGTGAATTTTTTCTTCATATTACTTTTTTTCTTTTTTGAGACAGTCTTGCTCTGTCGCCCTAGCTGGAGTGCCATGTCATCATAGCTCATTGCAGCCTCAAACTCCTGGGCTCAAGCCTCTCATGTAGCTAGGACTACAGGCACGTGCCACCACGCCCAGCTATTTTTTCTATTTTTTGTAGAGACTGAGTCTGGCTCTTGCTCAGGCTGGTCTCAAACTCCTGAGCTCAAAGGATCCTCCCAGATCAGCCTCCCAGAGTGCTAGGATTACAGGAATGAGCAACCACGCATGGCCTGTATTACTCTTAATATTACCCAGAATCTGATGTTTAGTCTTACCACGATTCTGATTCCATTCATGTGCTTCTCCTAAGTACTTTACATCAAACTGATACTGTCCATTTATGTAAAAATAATCATCAGTACTAAGAATGACTCCACTCGGATTATCCTCTTGCAAAGTCCTGTGGATGACAAATGGAATTATTTTCATTAACTTTTCTTCTAAATTCTCTCTCCTAACTTTCAAAGTCATAATCCAAATAAATAATTCAAGTAGTATCATTTAAAAAAGAATATTATAATATTCAAACAAATCATATTGAAAATCCTCTGAGCAGAAGTTTAACTCCCAAAAAACTGACCTAAGGCAGGTCTATTTTGCTTTATGTAAATTATTATTCAGAAACTTTTTTTTAACGTTATGAAGACCTTTATCCTTAACTATATAAAGGTTTGAAGATTAATAAATGGTTAATTATCCTTTTCTGAAGATATAAAGTCCATTTCTAGAGCATCCATTAAGTGCCAGGCACTGTTTTAACAAAACAGTTTAAAACAAAAAAGACAAAAATTCTTGCACGAGGCCACTGCACTCCAGCCTAGGTGACAGTATGAGACCCTGTCTCTAAAAAACAAACCAAAAAAACTTCTAGAGAACACAAAGTCAGAAAAATTTAGTAAAAAGAGAACATTCTGGAGGTTATTAAAGATCTCTACTAAGCAAAGCACTGTGAATATTCACACTGCCTGTTCAGATTCAGGCATTATACTCTTCTTCTCAATTAAACCTCATACCTTGCCAGAAAAGATTTTCCTGATCCGGGAAGGCCTCTGAGAAGAACAAGAACTAGTCCAACATAAGATGTTGTCTTCTTTCTTACAACCTGAGAAACCGGGTTTTCTTGTACTTGATAAGCACTTGTTCCTTCTTTATTCCTCCATACCTTTGTTGGGGAAGTGTGAGAAATGACTGAGGGTGGAAACGTATAGTTGACAGGTCTCCAGTGTGCAGCTGTGGTCACAACAGGAGCTACAAAGCCACGGTTTCCTTGAAAGAGGTCCAAAGCAGGAATCATTGGGTTCCACATCGGCGGAGGGGGAGGTGGCAACAGCAAAGGGAGCGGGGTGAGTACCGGGCAGTAACTCACATCCTTCCCCTTTGGTGGCAGTTCAGGATGCTTGTGTGGCTTAAAATTGAACCCTTCAGAAGATACAAACACATCAGAGACAGAAGCACATTTCTGATCACCACCTGTACTTGGTAAATCAAGCCCTGGAAGGCTTAAAGGCGCCTGAGGTTCGCTGGCATCCAGATGTACAGAAGCTTGAGGGAACTGAGCCTCAGCACACTCAGATTCTAAAAGTTCTTTCTGTTTTTGATCGAGATTGGTACAACCCACAGTAGAGTCATTTGCTGGATTTAAAGAACTACTGAGAAGAGAATCTTCTGGGTATTTACCTTCCAATGCCAATGTGCTATCCTTTATAAAATGTTTGGACTCATTCAAAACTGAATGTGAAGGTAATGGGTTTGAACTTAATGTGGAGGCAGAATTCTCTAAATTTTCACTGTTCAAATTCATACTGTGTGTAGAAAGAATGGGAGTCATAGTACTTGAATCAGAATTTATAAGCTCACTCGGGTCATTAAAACTATTAACATCTTGCAAAGGCAAAAATGAGTATACTTGGTCATCAGGAGAAGAGTTTAATTTCTCAAAAGCATTCTGTATTAAGGAATCCAAGTCTTCAGTTAACTGCATGTCCAAAAATGAATCCATTTTTGAATCTTCACTCTCTTCTTCAGGAGGACACTTTTCCATTACTTCACTTTCTGCTGCACTTACTTGGTTCTCAGAAGCAATGAAACTTTGTGAAGACGATTCTTCTATCTTGGCATCCGTGGCAGATAACTCTAATAGACAATCCATAGCATTTTCAACTGTATAATAATAAGAACAAGAAGAACAACAACAAAAATATATATAGAGAAAAAAATTGTATTAAAATCCAGCTAAAATCATACCAGATTTTTGCATTGAATAGAATATAGAGAAAGTTATAATATTCAAGTCATTTTTCCCCAAATTAATATTTTACTAATATGCCAAACTCTGCATTAGTGAAAAGTTTGACTAAGAGAGACAGGCAGTGTTGTCCTTTCAGACAAATAGTAATAAACTACTATCAAGTAAATACTTTTTGTTGAACTTATTGAGTAAATGTATAAATATCTGTAATTGTATGTATTACGGTTATTCATAAAGGTCCTCAAGCCAGTTGATTTATTCAACAAACTTACCTACTGTATGTATTTTTAAGTAGTATTTTATGTATTCTCTTAGTAAATCTAATTTATTTATATGGCCTATACTGTGAATTTCATTTAATACAAAAAATACTTATGAACATGTTCTGTATATCAGAAACTCTGTAAAAAGATAAAACAATCCTTGCTACACTCAAAGGATTCTGCAGTCTAATAGAGGAGATTAAAGATAATTACATTATATGATATAGATTAAATGGTGCACACTTCTGATAATGTACAAATGCCAAGAAGTGTATAGGAGACTAAGAAAAGATTTTGCATAAGGTGATATGTGAACTGGACTTGAAGATTAAAAAGTAATATACCAGACATAAGAGCGGGAAAGATAAACCCAGGCTTGAAAACGCAAAGCTTGGTGAAGGAGTTAAGAAAAGTTGGTTGGAGTGTGGGCACACGGTGGTAGATAAGAGAAGGAAATCAAACTGGAGAGGGAGACTGGGTGAAACTGGGAAGGGGCCTGTATTTCATGCTAAGAAATATTAATCTTATTTTCTAAGGGAACTTGAAGAAAACTACCAGTCACAGCATTTGAGCTAGAAGCTTTATACATATCACCTCACTGAATCCTCAAATAATACTATGAGGTATATTATTCCTAGCAAATAGATAAAGAAAATAAAGTTCAAAAAGTACATTAACTTGGCCCAAGTCACACAGATAATAAGTGACAGAGCCAGGACTGATGTGTCTGACTCCAATGCTAAGCTCTTTCTGTTATAACACAAATAGGAAGTCATTAGTATTTTTAAGCATTTGAACTTCGGCAGGAGGAGTGTTTCTTTTGTGTTTTATCTTGCTTATAATATAATCAGGAAACAGCACAGTAAAGTGGACAACAGCTCTGGTCTGGAGTCAGAACACCAGCATTTAAATCTCTACTGCTGGCTATGATACCTTGAACAAGTTAGTTAACTTCCCTCAATCTCGATTCTCTCATTTGTAATATAGGGATAATAAAAGTACCTACCTCATAGGTTGTTGTGAGGATTAAATGATATAATCCACGAAAAAGTGCTGTGCACAAGGACTGGCACCTAGCAAGCACCCAATTAATGTTCCCTTAAGAAGAAAAACAAAGAGGGATTGGAGGGGGCAAGCCTGGCAGAGAGACCAATCAGGGGATCGTAGCAATACTACATAGGCTAGGGAGCCCTAACAATGGAAAAAATGAAAAACAAAAAAAAAGAAGGTGGCAAATTATAAGAAGTATGTCTATGAAAAAAATCTACATGATAGTAAAACCAGAAAGAAAAGATCCACTAAAAAAAAATAACATGTATGTGATAAAAAACAGCATTAAGTAAAAACGAGTAAAAGATCAAGATACAGAGATACTACACAAAAAGAAAAGTCCTTACACAATTGTTGGGAAAAATTAAAACCATGATATGAAAACAAGAAAAACTTGAATGAACAATTTACACAAGAATATAAGAATTACTGAAGAATTGTGCACAAAAATGTTCTACATTCCTCTATATTAAAAAAACACAAATTAATAAAAGGTACAATTTTATTCCTATATTCCCATTAAAATCTTAAAATACTATGACACAACGCTGAAAAGGCTATGGCAACACCACTAGGTCAAACAGCGCCGGTGGCATTACAAACTGGCACACATCATTTGGTAGGCAGTTCAGCAGTATAGTTCCAAGAGCAGAAAGCTGTTCTTACCCTGTGACGCAAGAAAATAAAGCTTTGAGACTAAGGAAAAAACCTAAAAGAAGGAAAAAGCTATTTTTACCAAGATGTTCTCTGCAATATTAATTATTTATGAAAAACTAAGATATAATTAAAGAGGGTACAACAACGCAGTGGAGTAGAAAACTATGAAAAATAAATATAGATTTCAGCAACACTGAAAAAATGCTTATGGTTAAATTAAAAAAGCAGAATACACAATTTTATCAATGCTATTATTTAAACTATTCAAATATCAAGTGTTTATGAACAAAGTCTACAGAAGATTCTGGAAGATAGAAATAAGTTTTTGTTAGGGTACAGGGTAATATAGTTTTCTTATAATTCTTCATTGCTATGTTAAGTGTATGAGCAACAGATAAATTTTAAAGACATCAAAATGAGGAAATAAATGTTGAAGTCACTTACAAAACTCTATATACTATCATTTCTGAGCATCGTGTGCACTTCTAAAACCTGGTTCTATGCATATGTAACAGACTAAATAAGATATGCTTACATCACAGGCAGACTAAATAAGATATGCTTACATCGCAGGCCACATAATGACTGAAATGGAAATTTAACACTCATTATCAAAACTTCCCAAATCTAGAATACTTTTATCTTACACTAATCATGGCCAATAACAATACTGAGCCATCAACATTTAATTTACTCATTCAGCCAACTTATATAGATTCCCTTCTGTCTACAAACATACTTCTAAATGATTTATTACATTATTAATATTAATAATACTGATGATTTTACAAAAAAAGATAAAATACAACAAGACTCAACCCTCACCAAAAAAAAGTCCTACAGGACATACTATTATTTTTCTCATTAGCAGATTAGAAAAATGAGACTCAGAGAGGTTAATGGCAGAGCTAGAAATCCAATCCAGGTTTCTTAACTCCAAAGCCAATGTTTTGAAACCACATTACTCTATTGGCCTCAACTCTTAATGAGTTCTTATTTTCATAACTATAATTACCTAGCCACTTCATAAATACTTACTAAGCTCCCAATATGGGTCATTTGCTATTTTATGGGTTGGATATATAGCAGTAAAACAAAACAGTTTTTAAACCTCTGTCTTTATGGAGCTTACATTCTGAACAGTGGTTCTCAATCAGGTACAATTCTGCCTCCCGGGGGACAAATGACAATATATGGAGACATTTTTGATTGTCACAACTGAGGAGGTGGGGTGCTACTTGCATCTAGTGGGTGGTACCAGGCCAGGGATACTGATAAACATCCTACAGTGCACAGGAGAGCCACTCACAACAAAGATCTGTGCAGCCCAAAATGTCGATAATGCCAACCTGTTCTAAAGGGAAAATAAAAAGAGATAAAACATAGAATATGATATCTATACATATATTGTACATCTAGAACTATACATTTCTTAAGAGCAGAAACTATGCTTTATTCTTCATATCCCTCATAATACCAAACTTAATAATTTGCCCACAGCAGATGCTTAATAAATGAAGAATAAAATAGAAATAAGACAGTCATTTTTCTATGTTACTATTGGTCATGGCATAGTACATAACGTCTTCTTATAAGATGCAAAGGGTTCAAACTAAACTTTTTCTCACCTTTGAAATCACATTCAGAAAGCATCAAATACACTACATCAGGATCCAGATCAGAAAACATCTCTGAGATACTGGTGAAGAGTTCCTCCTGATCAACTTTTGTCTCACCCATGGAAGGAAGAGTAGCAGTTGGCTCCACATGACTAGCAACACTGGATACGACAACTTCCTTAGAGTTTGCAGTCTTCCGAAAAGGATTTCCCCCAAGATTTTTCTTTCTCCTTGGCATTCTGACTTCCAAAACTAAAATGTTTCCCTTTTCTTATTTAAGATGTTTGATATTTAAGTCATAATTCAAAAAAACAGGATTAAATATCTTGCACAATCCCGCTGTAAAAGGACCTAAAATAGAAAGCAATTAAAAACACTCAGACTATATATTTCCACTTCTAAAATTGGAATGACATCTTTATTTAACTCTAAGAAAGTACCATCCACTCTGGCAGCAAAACCAAGAAGTAGTCAATTTCTCTCTCTCCAAAATATTCAGGTTTTGCCAGTATTGAACATGTTAAAAATTAAGATATTAACAAAATGTAATATATTTCAGAACAGTGAGTATACTGTTTTAATACCATTGTTTCATTTTTAAAAAGCATAAGGCAGTATTCATCAATATAACTAGAATGCCTACTGAACATCTACACTCGTATATCTAATAGGCATCATAAATTTAACATGTCCAAAACTGAGCTCCTGATCAGCCCCTTCAAACCTGCTCTTCCCAGTCTTTCTCATCTCAGTTAATGCAACTCCATCCTTCCAATTGCTCAGGCCAAAAATCTTGTAATGACCCTTGACTACTCTCATCCTGCATCCAACTGATTAAGCCAATTTTGTCAGTGTAACCCCCAAAATGTATTCAGAACATGATCATCCCTCACGACCTCCACTGCTACCATCCTAGAATTAATTAGCTACCACAGCCTCTTGCCTGAATTACTATGACAGTCTCCCTTCCAATCACTCTGCTGTCACTCTTGCCCCTTCAGTCTATTTAGCACTGAAGCCAGAGTGGCTCAATTAAACCGTAGGCTGGATCATGCCTCTCTTCTGCTAAACTATCCATTAGCTTCCCACCTCACTCAGGATAAAAGCCAGAGCCCTTAAAATGGCCCAGAACTGGACACTTGTTACCTCCATACGGTTGCCCCTCACCTTCTTTCCCTAACTTGTACCACTTCAGCCACATTTAGCCTCCTCACTCTGCTTCAAACACACCAGCCATGCACTCCCCTGGGAACTTTTATACCTTGGTCCCCTCTACCTGAACTATTTTTCTCACAGGTATCTATAAGATTTATTTCCTCACCACCTTCTCATCATTACTCAAATGTTACCTTTTCAGGAACTCAGTCGCCCAACACCATTAATCCCTCTTTCCTACTTGAATTTTCTCCGTAGGACTTATTATCTCCTAACATGGCATATGTTTTATTGATTTATTTTATTTACTATCCATACTCAGATAAAGTGTAAGCTCCACAAGGGCAGGGACTCATATCCAGAGCAGAATTATAAACAGTCTACTTGTTTTCTCCGCTTAAATGGGTCTAATAAACATTTCTAATTTAACAAATCCAAAACTAAATGTCTGATTTTTACCAAAATGTGCTTTAACCATTGGGTATGACTACCATCATCTTTCACCTGCATGCCTGTCTCCTAACTGGTTTCCCTGCTTGCACCATGCCCCCTACAGTCTATTTTCAGCATAGCAGCCAGAACAATCTTCATACAACCCAAGTCAGATTGAATCAGGGACTGCTCTAAACCCCCAAGTGGTTCGCCACATCATTCAAAGTAAAACCTAAAGTTCTTACGATGGCCTACCTCCCTGCTAGCCCTTGATATATTCTTCCCCAAGATATTTGCATTGCTAACTTCCTCACTCCTTCAAATCTTTGTTGAAGCATCACATACAATGATTTCTTTGACTATCCAACTGAAAATCACGTACCCCACTTCCTCTACCCAATCTCCCTTTTCTGCTAACCACCATCACCCTTATCACCTTCTAACATACTATAAAATTTACCTTTTAATTAAATCTGTGTCATAGCTCGCTCCACCTTCCAGAACTGCACTGCCAATATGGCAGCCACCAGCCACATGTGCCTATTTAAATTTAAATTAATTATAATTAAAAAAAATTACATGTTTATATATTAGTATCAGATAAAAGGAGAATTCAGAGCAAAGAAAATTATCAGAGACAAAGAAAGACATTATATAATGATAAAGGATCAGTCCACCAAGAAGACATAGCAACGCTAAATGTGTATGCACTAAACGACAGCTACAAAATACATGAAACAAAAACCCACAGAGCTGAAAGAAGAAATAGACAGATTCACAATTACAGCTGGAGACTTCAACACTACTCTATCAACAATTGATAGAACTAGACAGAAAATCAGCAAGGATAAAGAACCCCAAAACAGGCAGGCGCGGTGGCTCACGCCTGTAATCCCAGCACTCTGGGAGGTCAAGGTGGGAGGATTGCTCGAGGTCAGGAGTTCAAGACCAGCCTGAGCAAAAGCAAGACCTCGGCTCTAATAAAAATAGAAAAATTAGCCAGGCGTGGTGGCATGTGCCTATAGTCCCAGCTACTTGGGAGGCTGAGGCAGGAGAATGGCTTGAGCCCAGGAGTTTGAGGTTGCTGTGAGCGAGGCTGACACCACGGCACTCTAGCCCAGGCAACAGAGCGAGACTCTATCTCAAAAAAAAAAAAAAAACAAAAAAACAAAAACAAAAACAGCCCCAAAACACCAACAATTGAGGATCTAATCAACATTTATGGAAGATTCCACCCAACAACAGCAGAATATACATTCTTTTCAAGTCCCCACTGAACATTTACTTAGATAGACCATGTCCTAAGCTATAAAACAAACCTCAACAAATTTAAAAGAATTGAAATTGTACAGAATATATTCCCCAACCATAATAGAATCAAACTAGAAATCAATAACAGAATGATAACAGGAAAATCTCCAAGCAATATAGTTCTAAATAATCCATGGATCAAAGACGAAGTCCCAAAGAAAATTTTAAAATTACATTGAACTGAATGCAAATGAAAATACACCGTATCAAAATGTGTAGGACACAGCTAAAGCAGTGATTAACAGAGAAATTTTTAGCACCAAATGCATACATTAGAAAAAAGGAAAAGTCTCAAATCAATAATCTAAGCCCTTACCACAAGAGCCTAGAAAAGAAGAGTAAAATAAACCCAAACTTAGAAAAAGAAAGAAAATAATAAAGATAATAGCAAATAATAATTAAATTTGAAAGACAAAAACAGAAAAAAAAATCAATGAAACAAATTGCTGGTTCACTGAAATGATCAATAAAATTGACAAACCTCTAGCAAAAATTACAAAGAAAAAAGAGAGAAGACACAAATTGCCAATGTCAGGAATAAAAACAGACCTATACAACAACTGTACACAAAAAAGTTTGACAACTTATATGAAAGGTATTACTTTCTCAAAAACCACAAACTCTTAAGAAACAGATAAAAACATTATAATTTTTAATGAAATTTAATTCATAATTTTAAAACTCCCAAAAAAGAAATCTCTAGGGCCAAATGGCCTCAATGGAGAATTCTAACAAACGTTTTTAAGAAAAATTAACACTAATCCTACAAAATCTCTCCCAGAAAATTAGAGAAAATACTCCAATTCACTTTATGACATTAGTATTATTCTCATACCCAAACCAGACAAAGTCAGTATGAAAAAAGAAAACTACAGACTAATATCCCTCATGAGTATATACACAAAAATCCTTAACAGAACACCAGTAAATAAAATTCAGCAATATATAAAAAGAATTACATGTCATGATGAAACAAGATTTATTATTCCAGGAATGTAAGGCTAGTTCAAAATTCAAAAATCCGTGTAATCCACCATCATATCAGGCTAACAAAGAAAATCACAATCATATCAATAAATGCAGGAAAAAATGACAAAATTCAACACCCATTCATGGTAACTACTAGAAAAATAGCAATAAAGGGCAACCTCCTCAACTTAATAAAAGCACCTACAAAAAAACCTACAGTTAACATTACATTTAGTGGTGAAATACTAAATGATTTCCTCCTAAAATCAGGACCAAGGCAAGGATGTCTATTCTCACCACTTTGATTCAATGTAATGCTAGAAGTTCTAGCCTGTGAAATAAAATCACAAAAAAGGAAATAAAATGCACACAGATCAGGAAGGCAGAAATAAAATTGTCCCTATTTGTAGATGATATGCTTGTCTATGTAGAAAATCCCAAAGAATCTATAAAGTCTCCCAAAAAAGACGTGAGTTCAGTAAGGTTGCAGGAACAAGATAAACATATAAAAGCAATTGTATTTAAATATACCAGCAATAATAACATGGAAACTGAAATTAAAAACACAACACCCTTCACAATTGCTCCAAAAATACAGTAAGTCCTCACTTAACATTGTCAATAGGTTCTTGGAAACTGCAACTTTAAGTGAAACAAAGTAGAGAAGGTCCTTGAATAATGTACTCCTTTCATTCATTTCATCATAATGCTGTTGAAGAAAAAAATTGGTTTTGTTATACATTATCTCAGTTAAAGGCGCAGTTTCCAAGAACACATTGACAATGTTAAGTGAAGATTTACTGTACTTGGGTATAAACCTAACAAAACAAGTGCAAGAATTATATGCTGAAAACTACAAAAGAGTAATGGAAGAAATCATGTTAACAGACTGGAAGACTCAACATAGTGAAGATATCAATTCTCGAATTGATATATAAATTTAATACAATTCCTACGAAAAGGCAAGATTTTTTTTACAGATATAGACAAGATTATTCTAAAATGTGTAAGACAAAGGAACTAGAATAGCTAAAATAGCTTTGAAAAAGAACAGAGTAGGAGGAATCAGTCAACTTAATTTTAAGAGTTGTTATATAAATACACTAATCAAGACTATGTGGTGGCCGGCCCGGTGGCTCACGCCTATAATCCTAGCACTCCAGGAGGCCGAGGCAGGCAGATTGTTTGAGCTCAGGAGTTCAAGACCAACCTGAGCAAGAGTGAGACCCTGTCTCTACTAAAAATAGAAAGAAATTAATTGGACAACTAAAAATATATAGAAAAAATTAGCCAGGCATGGTGGTGTGCGCCTGTAATCCCAGCTACTCCGGAGGCTGAGCCAGGAGAATCGCATGAGCCCAGGAGTCTGAG